ATTATTATATGAAAACAATTGATATAAATATGAAAGCATTGAAAATTTATAACTTACAATTCTATATAATTTGTTAACATAAGATTAAAATTTTTCTTTTTCAAATAAATTTTTACTATTTGTTCAAGTGATTTAAAACCCCAATCACCTTTTGTACCAAGTCGTTTTTCTAATGCAAGAACATTTTTAAAACTTTCAAGAGCAGCATCTGGATCATCTTCATTTAATGCTTCAGAATAATAATATTGATTTTCTAAATCATTATCAGGCTCTTCATTTTCATTTTCATTGTCATAATCATTATCATAATCATCATTATCAACCATATCATCGTCAGACATTTTAGAAATGATTTTTTTTTCTTCTTTTGATAATCTAAAAAAATTTAATTATGTTGAAAATATGTGATCTCAAAAAACAATTTAGATTTTATTATATCGCAAAGATATTTGCAAGAAATATCATTTGAAAATTCACTATTCATTAAAAATTAAATAAAAATGATCTCAAGCTTTTAGCAAAATTAGTTTGTATGGTTTCTAAACTTTTTAATAAATAAATGTTTTTGGCGTCGAACAATCGAATCAATCATTATTATTCCATTTTCTATTTATTCCATATAATAAAATAATACTCAGTTGATAATATTATTTACTCAAAAAGTTTTGTTTTTAAAAGAAGAAAGGAAATAACCATGTGAGAATGTGACATGAATAAATTTCATAACAATACGAAAGAATAATGTTTGATAATAAAATATTCTCAATGAAATAAAATATGGAGTTAATATTATTCTATTGAATAAAATTTCAACCAATCAAATTAATAACGATTCCGAGAGGAAAATTGAGTCCCATAGAATGAAGCAACAAAAAAAACACGTGCAATCAAATCCGTTACTATCGATGCAATGCGTTTAAGCTCACGTTGACAGTAGCGATCTTTTGTTCACGTTTTTTCTTTTGATTGACTTCATGATATTAGAAAATCGATCAGTTTTGTAATAAAAGACTATTTCTTCAATGATAATTGTCCTTTTTTTTTTGATAATATTTTTTATGATAAAATATTGGTTAGCAGATACAGGTTGATTATGTTATTTTTAATAGTTTTGTATAGTTTGCTGTATTTATGCAATACATTGAAAAGCACTTATTTTGACACAGTTGGATAGAGTATCGGCTGCTCTATCAAGACATATAATTTGCTTTTTACTTTCTTTAGCTCTAGTCCAAAAAATTGATGAATCTCAAACAACTATGAAGAAAAATTTTTTAGGGTTTTTCACATGATTTTTAATAGTTTTATTTTTCACATATATAAACACAAAAAGAGTGCAGTTGTAAACGACGTTCAATATGAGAACCTCGAGCCTTACATATCATTAAAACTCTCTTTGACCAGGAAGCTAATACTTTATTGATATACGTTTGACTCATTTTTCTCCACTCATGCAGAAGCTTTTTGTAAAGTTCACCAAGAGAATTAATATGTGTTCTATTAAGTTGTTCTTTTGAAAGTATAGCTTGGTGCCGAGTCTTAATGAAAAAGCCCCTTTATTTTTTATGTTTTTGGAAATAAACGTGCAACGTATCGTGTTAAAAATAGTTTCAAAACCTTGCCAATATAATAACGAGTCGATGAATCTTCAACGTCAACTTTCTTAATGACCTTTGTCATTATAGACGTGGTTTGGCATGGTTTTTTTTGAAAAAAATTAATTTTTGGATTCAGAATTTCGCTGACACTCGATCTCTCGCTTGACATTTGACACAGTAGGTTGACTCTACTAAGCTTCAAAATGATCACAATTCGAGGCTGGGCGTATCTTTGGTGTAATAGTTGTAGAATACGTCCTTCGACATTGTCAGAAATTTTATTACGGAGCATTTATTAAAATGAACTTTAACGAGTTGAATAAAAGAAGAAGACTACAACTGTCATAAACAGGACAGAAAAAAATTGTTCAATATATAATGTGCACGTGTTATCGTGAATACTATTAAGTATAGCACGAGCAATCTGTATGTGAAAAATAAAACTATTAAAAATCATGTCAAGAACCCTAAAAAATTTTTCTTCATAGTTGTTTGAGATTCATCAATTTTTTGGACTAGAGCTAGAGAAAGTAAAAAGCAAATTATATGTCTTGATAGCGCAGCCGATACTCTATCAAACTGTGTCAAAATAAGAACTTTTCAATGTATTGCATAAATACAGCAAACTATACAAAACTATTAAAAATAACGTAATCAACCTGTATATTAGATTCAATCGTTTTTTCATAATAATCCGACACTAGAATGCGGTTTCGTAGTTATATCTACGACGGTTTATGGAGAAGAAGAAAAACAGTGTTGTTAAGGTGTGTGTTATGTAATGGCTGAGTGTGGGTGTCTGATTAATTTTACACCGACACCCACACCCTTTATCTTATTCTATTACTCACTTGATTGTAATGTTCCTATATTTAGATAGAATCATTATTTAACTATTCAAATGTTTCTCAGTTCGAAAGATGAATGGAGAAAGAGGATTTATTGGGCAAGTGGGTGTGGGTGTAAGGTGTCGGTGAAGAAAAGACAAACACCCACACCCGCACCGGCAAGTGTCGTCGGAATTCTTGAAAACCTTGAAAAATTATAATAAAATGTACTGTCCAGATAAAAAAAATATCTGATCAAACCTAGTATAACCCCATGTCCTCTCATCACAAGGAATCCGAAACCTTGGAAACCTTCAAAAATTTCGACATATCCTATTTATTAAAAATGAACCGAAGTTATTAAGGAACTTTGTATATAAATGTTCCTGAGATTGCCTGACACTGTTCAACTGCTGCAAACCTAATGGTTCTCTGGAAATCCTTGGTTTTTGCATTGATACCACCGCTTCCGAAATGCATGAGAAACCTTCCAACCGTTGAACACAGCCACTCGGAAAACAGTTTCCACCATCGAAAACGCCAAAGAATCCTTAGTTTCATTAAAAACTTTTGTAATATCCATTTATATCATAAGTGAAATATTTGAGCAAACCTAGTATGATCCCATGCCATTTTATTGCAAGGAGTCCGAAACCTTGAAAAATTTCGACATATTCTATTCATTAACAATCAATCAAATTGATTAAAAAACATGGTTTTTCACGTTTCTGATGATCTCTACGACACGCCAATACTTGCAAAACCAATTGTTTCCGGGAAATCCTTGGTTTTTGCACTAATTTAAATCGAACAAAATGCGATGAAATTCTTCAAATCCTTGGATTTCTTCCATTTACCGCCAATCCTGACCGATTAAAGTGCTAAGGAACCCTTGGAATTCTGGTTTTCCTATGATTTCCGGCAACTTCTGACTGTTCAAAACGCTAGGCAATACTTGAAATCCTTGGATTTCAGGACCGTTCTTAACTGTCCCAAGTGGCGGGGAATCGTTGAACTTCTTTGAGTCCTTCGTTCCCGGCCATTCTAAACTGGGCCAACTGGCAAGGAATCCTTGAATTCCTTAGGTTTCTAACCATTCTCGACAATCTTAAGGATATAAAATGCTAGGAATTATTGGATTCTTGAGCTGCCCGACTATTCGTGACTGTTCCAAGTTTTATGGAATCTTTGAATCCTTTGTGTTGCTTAAGTTTCCGACCATTCTTGAGTCTTCCAAGTGGTATGAAATCCTTGAATTCGTTGGATTCCTTAGCTTTGCGGTGGTTCTGAAATGTCGCAATGACGTTGGAGTCCTTGAACTTCTTGGAGTCTTTAACTTCCCAGCCGCTTCATCAGCCATAAGTGGCAGAGAATCCTTCTGTTTTTTGGATTTCTTAACTTTTCCGGTTCTCCTCACTGTAGAAAGTACTAGGGAATTCTTGTGATCGTTGTTTCCTTAACCTTTCAATCATTCCTGAATGTCTCAAAAATAGCACGGAATTGTTGAATTTCTTAGGTTTCTCAACAATCCTGAATGTTCAAAATGCTAAGGAATCCTTGGAATCGCTGCATCAATTGGCTTCATTTGGATTCTTAAGTATAGGAAGTGCTATGGAATCCTTGGATTGCTTAGATTCTTTAGCTTTCAAACCATTCTGGACTGCTACAAGTTGCAGAAAATCTTTGGTATCCTTGAATTTCTTTCCGTCCCGACCATTCTTGACTGTCCAAAGTGCGGTGCAATTCTTGGATTTCTCAACTTTCAGACCATCCTTGACTGTCTTATGTAGCACTGAATCAATGAATTCCTTCG